AGCCAGAGCTAGTCTGGCCTAGTCTGGCACCAGGCTAGAAAGCGGGAGACCATGAGTTCTAGTCCCGCCTTAGGCATGAAAGCCAGCTGGGTGACTTAGGGCCAATCACCAGGAGACTGTGAGTTCTAGTCCCGCCTTAGGCCTGAAAGCCGGCTGGGTGACTTTGGGCCAATCATCAGGAGCCTGGGAGTTACAGTCCCGCCTTAGGCGTGAAAGCCAGCTGAGTGACTTTGGGCCAATTACCAGGAGTCTGGGAGTTCTAGTCCCGCCTTAGGCGTGAAAGCCGGCTGGGTGACTTTGGGCCAATCATTAGAAGTCTGGGAGTTCTAGTCCCGTCTTAGGCGTGAAAGCTGGCTGGGTGACTTTGGGCCAATCACCAGGAGACTGGGAATTCTAGTCCCGCCTTAGGCGTGAAAGCCAGCTGGGTGACTTTGGGCCAATCACCAGGAGACTGAGAGTTCTAGTCCCGCCTTCTCAATAAAAGTCAGCTGGTTAACCTTGGGGCAGTCCCTCCCTCCCTCTTCCCCCCCCTCTCTCAGCCCCACCCACTCCACAGGGTTGTTGTTGTGCGGAAAACAGGAGGCGGAGGATGTGTTGGCAATGTTCCCTGCCTTGAGTTATTTGTAAAAAAGAATAAAGGTGGGGAAATAAACAAATGAAAATAAAAATAAAGAGCTGCAACCTGTGGCAGGAAACATCTGAGATGAAAGCAGCGGTGCGAGGGGAGGGCGTTGTGTGTTGTGCAGGATTTGCCCAGGAAAGTAGAATGTTCTGCCGGGAAAACGACTCGGATGGAACACAGGCACCCAGAAAAAGATGATGGACGGGTCCCACCTCCGAGGCGGAAGACGGTTCAGAGAGAGAAAGGAAGTCCTCAAGATCCCATTGCTACTTTTATACCAGCAGGTCAAGTCCACTACAAAAATCAGATTAAAAGGATCCAGATGGAATCAAAAAGTTCTCTTGGGGCTGGACTAGAAGACCTCCAAGGTCCCTTCCAGCTCTATTCTATTCTATTCTATTCTATTCTATTCTATTCTATTCTATTCTATTCTATTCTATTCCATCCCATCCCATCCCATCCCATCTTCTATTCTATTCTATTCTATTCTATTCTGTTCTGTTCTGTTCTGTTCTGTTCTGTTCTATTCTATTCTATTTTCTATTCTATTATTATTATTATCTAGCTAACATCTGTCTTACTTATCCATCTGTCTCTCTATCACATATAGCTGCTATCTATCAGCTATTATCTATCTCTCAATATTGATCTATATCTATCTATCATCTCTATCTATCTATTTATCTATCTATCTATCTATCTATCATCTATCTATCTATCTATCTATCTATCCATCTATCCATCTGATCATCTATCTATCTATCTATCTATCTATCTATCCATCTATCCATCTGATCATCTATCTATCTATCTATCTATCTATCTATCTATCTATCTATCTATCTATCTATCTATCCATCTAATCATCTATCTATCTATCTATCTATCTATCTATCTATCTATCTATCTATCTATCTATCTATCATCATCATCATCTATATCTATCTTCTATCTAATCTATCACCTAGCTATCCAACTATCTAGCTGGCTATTATCTCTCTCTCTCTCTATTCAATATCCATCCATCCATTTTGTGACTGTGAGTTCCACAAATTAAGCACTGCATAAATAAATTGTTGTTTTTGAAAAAGCCATGCCACTGTCTTAAATTCTGCTTATCTTGATATATGCATAAAAGGGGGCTCTGCTGTTTATTTAAATACCACCTGAGCAACTTTTTAAAACAGCGAACAGTAGAAAAGATTTTAACACTGGGAACACCGATCCTGAATTGTGCCAACCATCCAAGCTGACTTTATTTCCAGTGCACTTTCTGTTCCTAAAATATATGTGCCAAAATGTTACCGTTGTTACAACTGCTATTGTTAGGGCAGGACTGAAATACTGAAGCATAAAATTTGTGTTTTTTTCCCTCCTCATATTTTCCTTCAGATCATTACACATGTCACATCAATCGTCACATCGGATTGAGCTTTGAAATAGCTGCCATATAGTTCATAAACAAACAATGTGGAGTAACATTTTGAAGGTTACACATAGTCGCTGCTCAGTCTTAAAAAGCATCTTTGCTACAGATGAGGTTTAACGAGAAAAAGAATTCCAACAGTGAAAAAGACTATTTAGAACAGTGATTCTCAACCTTTCTAATGCCGTGACCCCATAATACAGTTCCCCATTTTGTGGTGACCCCCAAGTGGGTGTGGCCACCAATAAGAGGGAGTAGGACAGCTAGGGAAAAGGGGAAAAAATGGCGGACAGCATGGTTTGGCGACCCCCGTGAAATGGTCATTTGACCCCAAATGGGGTCCCGACCCACAGGTTGAGAACCACTGATTTAGAAGCAAAAGGAAGGAATATAAAGTTGACTTGTTTGATCAGGACTAAGATAATAAGGACTTTTATAAAATTCTGGAATCCCTTTATTATTTTTTAGCTAACATCAGGAGAGAAATGACAATGATTTTTGGATTTGTGAATTGTTGGGGATACTCAGAGAAGAGGTGAACCATGCATGTAACTTCATGGGGATGGGAACCATTAATTTGCCTGGAAATTAATTAGTGGAAACTCATCAAGGAGAGAAGCAACCTAGAACTAAGGAGAAACTTCCTGACAGTGAGAACAATTAATCAGTGGAACAGCCTGTCTCCAGAAGCAGTAAATGCTCCAACACTGGAAGTTTTTAAGAAGAGACTGGACAGCCATTTGTCCGAAATGGTGTAGGGTTTCCTGCCTGAGCAGGGGGTTGGACTAGATGACCTCCAAGGTCCCTTCCAACTTTACTACTATTACTATTACTATTATTGCAAGGAAGATTGGGAATTGCTTATTAAAATATTCTTTTTTGTCTCCTTCTCCTTTTCCTTCTCCTTTCCCTCCTTCTCCTTCTTCTTTTATTCCTTCTCCTCCTTTTTCTCCTTTCCTTTTTTCTCTCCTTTCCTCCCCTCCCTCTGTCTCCTCTCCTGTCCCCTCCTCCCCTCTCATGTGCATTTATTTTTCTTTTTTTTTCTCTCTGATTTCAATTTGTATTATTTTTTAAATTATAAAACTCTTCACTAAAAAGTATATTTTTATAAAAGAGGGATTTTTTTGAAAAAAAATATATACCTCAATCTGAGCTTAATTCATTGAGCTTAAATATACAGTATAACAAGAGTTGGAAGGGACCCTGGAGGTCTTCTAGTCCAACCCACAACGTTGCTTGTCAGAAGGTCACAAAAGTTGATCCCGTGACCCAGTTGACAAGCGTTCGAATTTTGATCACGTGATTCTGGGCATGCTACAATGGTCAAAAGTGTGAAAAACGGTCATCAGTCCCTTTTAGTGACCTCAGTGACTCTGTAACTTCGAACGGTCACTAAATGAAGTGTTGTAAGTTGAAGACTACCTGTATCCCTGGTGTGTATGTGTGTGTGTGTGTGTGTGTGTGTGCATACAAACGATGTGGGGGGACACTCCTCCTTTTAGGATGCTCACATGTGTCTGAGGAGGGATGCATTGTAGCCCCACTAATTGCAAGGGGAGAAGCAATCTAGAACTGAGGAGAAATTTCCTAACAGCGAGAACAATTAACCAGTGGAACTACTTGCCTCCAGAAGTTGTGAATGCTCCAACACTGGAAGTTTTTAAGAAGAAACTGGACACCCATTTGTCTGAAATGGTATAGGGCAGGGGTAGGCAACCTTGGCTCTTTTATGAGTCGTGGACTTCAACTCCCAGAATTCTTGAGCCAGCATGAGGGAACTATGGCCCCTTCATGACTCATGGACTTCAACTCCCAGAATTCCTGAGACAGCATGGGGAAACTTTGGCCCCTTCATGACTTGTGGACTTCAACTCCCAGAATTCCTGAGCCAGCATGGGGAAACTTTGGCCCCTTCATGACTTGTGGACTTCAACTCCCAGAATTCCTGAGCCAGCATGGGGGAACTTTGGCCCCTTCATGACTTATTGACTTCAACTCCCAGAATTCCTGAGCCAGCCTGGCTCAGCTTGGAAACCTCTCCCTTTTCCCTCAGCATGGCTGGCTCAGGAATTCTGGGAGTTCAAGTCCACAAGTCATAAAGGACTCTACCCCTGGTATAGAGTCTCCTGCCTGAGCAGGGGGTTGGACTAGATGACCTCCAAGGTCCCTTCCAACTCTGTTATTCTGTTATTCTGAATAGCTTCCCTCCAGAGGTTGTGGGTGCTCCATCCCTGGAACTTTTTAAAGAAGAGACTGGACAGCCACTTCTCTGGAACGGTACACCTAGTCCTCGGCTTACAAAAGTTACAATGGCACTGAAAAAAAAAAGTGACTTATGACCCTTTTTCACAGTTACGACCTTTGCAGCCTCCCCACGGTCGCCGGATCCAAATTCTGATTCCTCCTTATGACGCTCGCAGTGTCCCCGGGGGTCACGCGATCCCCTTTGGCGACTTTCTGACAAGCAAAGTCAAGGGAGGGAAGTCAGATGCCTTTCACATCCCGGGTTACGGACTTATCCGCTGCAGCGATCCACTTAACGACCGAGGCGAGAAAAGTCGTCAAACGGAGCAAAAACCCCTTAAGAAACGTCTCGCTTCGCGGCAGAAATTCCGGGCTCAGCCGCTAGTCGTAAGTCCAGGACTACCTCTGGGGGGGGGCAGTCTCCTGACACAGCAGGGGGCTGGACTAGAAGACCTCAGAGGTCCCTCCTGACTCTCTCTTATTCTGTTATTCGACAGGAATAACAGGAAACCAGACAAGGTAAATAATATGAAATTTTGGCACTGAAGGAGGATAAAACACACCCAGTCCACCCTGCTCCACCCACCTCCTGACTATAAAATCTACAACCCCCCCCCACCCCACTCCCATTTGTAATCCTTGCACTCCGGAGTATTTAACTCATCGGAAGCCGGGATGTATTCCCAGAGACAAATCTATGAGAAATAGTTTTGGCTCACTCAAGTTTTTGGGTGACTTAATTCTCTATTCCCCCCCCACCCCACCCCACCCTGGGTGTCCCTCCCTCCCTCTGACTGCTGCTGGTCAGCAAGTCCAGCCCATTCCCACCCACCTCCCCAAGAAGAAACTTCCCACAGATGGGAGCAGCTGGAGCATCTGGAAGAGAAGAACATTAGAAAGCTGCAGAGAAAGACGAAGGCACCAAACCTGGATCGCCAAATTAGGTGGGTACCGAGAGATTTGATCCCGGTGGAGGCCAGGCCGGTGAGATGGGGGCCCGGTGTGCTGTAGTCTGTGTGTCTGTGTGTCTGTGTTGTGTTTTTTTTCCAGGGGAGAGAAAAATGTAAGCCAGATGCTGCTGGAATGTTTTTTTTTTTTTTTGAAAAACCTCTGCCCGATCTTTTTCATCTTGGAAATTGCAGCGAGTAAAAGGAGATAGCTGTTGGTTTTTTTTTTTTTTTTTTTTTCTTTCTTTCTTTCTTTCTTTCTTTCTTTCTTTCCTTCCTTCCTTCCTTCCTTCCTTCCTTCCTTTTTTTCTTTCTTTCTTTCTCTTTCTTTCTTTCTTTCTTCCTTCCTTTCTTCCTTTCTTCCTTCCTTTTTTTTTTTTCTTTCTTTCTTTCTTTCTTTCTTTCTTCTTATCGGAAGAAAAAAAGGGTGGTGGGGGTATTGGGGCACGATAAGAGTAGAAATGATGCTGTTTGGAAAGTCATTTTTCGTCCCCCTTGCCCCATCCCACAGTGGGAATTAAGCCCATGTTTTCCTTATGTCACTCGTGAGTAAGTCCCATTCAATTGCGTTGGAGCGTTGATAATAATAGTAAAGTTGGAAGGGACCTTGAAGGTCTTCTAGTCCAACCCCCTGCTCAGGCAGGAAACCTATTCCGTGTCAGACAAACAGCTGTCCAGTCTCTTCTTAAAAACTTCCAGTGTTGGAGCATTTACTGCTTCTGGAGGCAGGTGGTTCCACTGGTTAATTGTTCTAACTGTCAGGAAGTTTCTCCTTAGTTCTAGGTTGCTTCTCTCCTTGATGAGTTTCCACCCGTTGCTTCTTGTCCTGCCTTCAGGCGCTTTGGAGAATAGCTTGACTCTCTCTCTCTGCATGTTTCTCCCCTTCTTTTAGAACATAGACTCTGTAAGGGACCCTGGAGGTCATCTAGCCCAACCTTCTGCTCAAGGCAGGAGAACCTTATCCCATCCAATGGCTGTCCAGTCTGTTTTTGAAAACCTCCAGTGATGGAACATCCACAACTCCGGAAGGCAGTTCGTCCATTAATTAATTGTTCTCACTGTCAGAAAATTTTGCCTTAATTCTAGGTTAGATCTCCCTTTAATGATCCATCCGTTACTTCTTTGTCCTGTTTTCAAGTGCTTTGGAAAACATGTCAGTCTCTATTCTCTATGACAGCCCCTCAACTAAGGGAAGATAAGAATCATGTTCTCCCCTTTAAGGGGATGTCCTTTTATAAATAGGTCCCATTGAATGCAATTTAACTTATAAGGAACTATGCCTGATAAATAGGTCCCATTGAATGCAATTTAACTTATAAGGAACTATGCCTAAAGGAGCCACGCAGGAAAGTCAGCGTAGAATTAGAATTAGAATAACAGAGTTGGAAGGGACCGTGCAGGTCATCTAGTCTGACCCTCCCCTGCCCAAGCAGGAGACTCTACACCATTTCTGACAGATGGCAGTCCAGTCTTTTCTTAAGAGCTTCCAGGGATGAAGCTCTCACAACTTCTGAAGCTCCGCTGGTTGATTGTTCTCACTGTCAGGAAATTGCTCCTTATTTCTAGGTTGAATCTGTACTATTAGCAGAGCGCACGCTGAATGTCTTCCATAGGTGATGGAAAGTATGCAGCAGTCTAAACTGGGTTCAGAATAAAATAGTATAGTATATTTCAGGAGTTCTCAAACTTGGCAACTTCAAGACTTGGGGACTTCAACCCCCAGAATTCCTCAGCTAGCTGGCTGAGGAATTCTGGGAGTTGAAGTCCCCAAGTCATGAAGGGACCATAGTTCCCCCTGTGCTGGCTGAGGAATTCTGGGAATTGAAGTCCACGAGTCATGAAGGGGCCATAGTTCCCCCATGCTGGCTGAGTAATTCTGGGAGTTGAAGTCCACAAGTCATGAAGGGACCATAGTTCCCCCTGTACTGGCTGAGGAATTCTGGGAATTGAAGTCCACGAGTCATGAAGGGGCCATAGTTCCCCCATGCTGGCTGAGTAATTCTGGGAGTTGAAGTCCACAAGTCATGAAAGGGCCATAGTTTCCCTGTGCTGGCTGAGGAATTCTGGGAGTTGAAGTCCACAAGCCATGAAGGGGGCCATAGTTCCACAAGCCATGAAGGGACCATAGTTCCCCCATGCTGGCTCAGGAATTCTGGGAGTTGTTCTTAAAATTGCCAAGTTTGGACACTCCTGGTATACAGGTGGTCCTTGACTTACAACTGTACAACTGAGCCCAAAGTTTATATTGTTAAGTAAGACATTAGTTGAGTGAGTTTTTCCCCATTTTATGACCTTCCTTGCTACCGTTGTTAAGTGAAACACTGCAGTTATTAAGTTAGCAATGCGGTTGTTAAGTGAATCTGGCTTCCCCATTGACTTCGCTTGTCACAAGGTCGCCAAAGGGGATCACCTGACCTTGGACGCTGCAACCGTCGTAAGTACATGCCAGTTGCCCAGCCTCCGAATTTTGATCACATGACCACGGGGAGGCTGCAACGGTTGTTAAGTGTGAAAAGTGGTCATAAGTCACTTTTCTAAAGTGCCGTTGTCACTTTGGACGGTTACTAAATGAATTGTCATAAATCAAGGACTATCCTTGACAATTTTAAGGCATGTGGACTTCAACTCCCAGAATTCCACAGCCAGCATTGCTGGCTGTGGAATTCTGGGAGTTGAAGTCCACATGCCTTAAAATTGTCAAAGTTAAGAAACACTGCAGGGATTTTGCTCACTTAACAGCTGCAGGGATTCCCTTAACAATTGTGGCAAGACAAGGTCGTTCAATGGGGCAAAACTCACTTAAGGACTGTCTTGCTTAGCAACAGAAGTTTGGGCTGCAGTTGCAGTTGAGGACGATCTTCAGCTGATGCTTGTGAGGTGCAAAACGTGAATTCTTCCCCTACGGAGTAATTCCGTAGGAGTAACAGAAAGTCACAAAAGTTTCCTTTCAGCTTGATTTCAGGAAAAAAAGAGAAAGACTCAGAACATAGGAATATATAACTGATGGATGTTTGCACTGCCCCAGCTTTTAAAACAGAGTGATGCATGTCATGTTGCAAGACTGAAGTAATTATGCAAAGAATCAGAATCAGAATAGAGCTGGAAGGGACCTTGGAGGTCTTCTAGTCCAGCCCCCTGCTCAAGCAGGAGAGCCTATACCAGGGGTAGGCAACTTTGGCTCTTTTATGACTCGTGGACTTCAACTCCCAGAATTCCTGTGCCAGCATGGGGGAACTATGGTCCCTTCATGACTCGTGGACTTCAACTCCCAGAATTCCTGTGCCAGCATGGGGGAACTATGGCCCCTTCATGACTTGTGGACTTCAACTCCCAGAATTCCTCAACCAGCATGGGGGAACTATGGCCCCTTCATGACTTGCAGACTTCAACTCCCAGAATTCCTCAGCCAGCATGGGGGAACTATGGCCCCTTCATGACTCGTGGACTTCAACTCCAAGAATTCCTCAGCCAGCATGGCTCAGCTTGGAAACCTCTCCGTTTCCCCTCAGCGTGGCTGGCTCAGGAATTCTGGGAGGAAGTCCACGAGTCATAAAAGAGCCAAGGTTGCCTACCCCTGGCCTATACCATTTTAGACAAGAGACTGTCCAGTCTCTTCTTAAAAACCTCAAGTGATGAAGCACCCACAACTTCTGGTGGCAAGATGTTCCACTGGTTAATTGTCCTCACTGTTAGGAAGTTTTTCCTTAGTTCCAGGTTGCTTCTCTCCTTGATAAGTAATCATAATAATAACAGGATCTGTATGAGTTTTTAGAATAGACTAGCAGAGTTGGAAGGGACCTTGGAGGTCTTCTAGTTCAACCCCCTGCTCAGGAAGGAAACCCTATACCATTTTAGACAAATGGCTGTCCAGTCTCTTCTTAAAAGCTTCCAGTGTTGGAGCATTCACCGCTTCTGGAGGCAGGTTGTTCCACTGGTTAATTGTTCTGACTGTCAAGAAGTTTCTCCTTAGTTCTAGGTTGCTTCTCTCCTTGATTAGTTTCCATCCGTTGCTTCTTGTCCTGCCTTCAGGCACTTTGGAGAATAGCTTGACTCCCTCTTCTTTGGGGCAACATCTCAAATACTTAGAACGCTGCTATCATGTCTCCCCTATTTCTTCTTTTCTCTAGACTAGCCATACACAAATCCTGCAACTGTTCTTCATATGTTTTAGTCTCCAGGCCTTTAATCATCTTAGTTGCTCTTCTCTGCACTTTTTCCAAAGTCTCAACATCTTTTCTGTAACATGGTGACCAAAACTGGACGCCGTATTCCAGGGGTGGCCTTACTAAGGCTTTATAAAGCGGGGCTAATACTTCACGTGGTATTGATTCTAGACCTCTCTTTATACAACCCAGGATTGTATTAGCTTTTTTGGCTGCTGCTGCACATGGCTGGCCCACGTTTAAAATATCGTCCAGATCACTTAAGAGTTGCATATCTGCAAATGGAGCCAAAAGAAAGAGAAATATATTTCAAGGACATAATTCACTAAAAGCAGACTTTTGTACTGCATTTTTTGATTGATAAACATTGACTTTTATTTCATTTTTTAAAAATTATTTTATTTTTAACCAACAAAACAAAACAAAGCAAAACATAACACACATACACACACAGTATATACTCCTCCCCCCCCTTTTTTATTGAAAATTTTTTAAAAGTTTTACAAATAAACAACCAAAAACAAATCAACCCTCACCCAATCCCTCCCGAACCCACCCCTCCCTCCCCCCCGAACTTCTCAGAACTGAATATAGGCTTATTTAAAATTTTAAAGTATCTAAACAAATTTTTACAACTTATAATAATAAAATATATGTAAACATAAAAAAAATACTTAAAAAAAGAAAGAAGAAATAGGAGGAAAGAGAGAGAAAAGGAAAAAGAAAAAAAGATAACAAAGACAGAAAAAGAAAAGAAAAAACAATCTATACAAATTATGAGAAAGCTAAATGATATTTTTCCATATCCAAATTATATTGTATAAAATTTATCCA